GCTGGATAGACTTAGACTGACTGCAGTCTACTCGTATTTTTTTATCACTTTTCAACAAATCTTCAGGTGCGCTGATGTCACTTAATGCATCTTCTAACTGGCCCATCAACCTGTGTACAGAATAAGATCCAGAATAACTTAGTTAGGTTAATGTTATAAGTTTCTCATGTTTTTCATGTCTTTGATTATTTGTTTTAACCTTTCTCTAGGTAACTGTGTTGGTACATGTCAACGACAACTGGAATCCTATGAGTCCCACTGTCACCCAGAGTCAACTCAACGTGTCAAATGTAAGTGTGTTTTATTTTTATTTTCTTCATCTACATTTGGTTCCACTTTCACAAAATGATGCATTGAAAGATATTCACAGCGTTATCCTTCCAGTATCTCATTTCTTGTATTTCATTTCTTGCTGCTGTACCAAAAGATCATTTCTCCTTCTGTTTCATCATCATTCATCTTTTGTGTCTTCCCTCCTGTGTCTTACTTCCTCTGCTTATGAATGTAAACTTGCCTCTGTCCTTTACCTCTATCCATTACCTTTGACTTGTCGTCTGGAGCAGAGTTCCACTACACTTTTTTTTTGCACCATATATTGCTTTTGTCTAAGACAATATGAATAGAATTGAAAACACAACTTTTTCTTATCTTTTACAGTTACAGCCATGTCTACTGTCTCCATCGTGGGCCCTTTTTAAACTCTTCAAAGACGTGTCCAGAGTTGGTTGGGAATTTAGGGAGGATCCAAACACATCACCATCCAAGTTTAAAATGTGAGTTTAATTTAAATATTTTTCCTATGCAACCAGATACTAAATGTCAAAATATATATATGATCCACCTGTACTACCCTCTTTTGAGACCCCTTACTCACGCTGTGCAATAATAACTGCCAGTGATCCTTATTGCGCTTCAAGTAATTAAGGACCACCGAGAGATTTGTGTCCCTCTAGCGGTAATAAACCAATATTACATTATTCTGTAAGCAGAATCTGGATAAATTACATCATAAACTTCTCTGATCTGTGTCCCTGTAATTGGCAATACGTGGGTTTTAGAAATGTATGAGCATGGTGCTGCTGGTGTACAATACCACAGCTTATCAAGAAGACAAGACAAATGAACTCACACAAAAAAGAATTTAATACCCTTCGTGAAGGGATAAATGATCCAAAGTCTGACATACTAAATAGGGCGAGGTTTAATGACACAGGTTTTTAATGTAAAAACTTGTGGCCAACACCCAAAATGCTCTGTAAAGTCATGTGACATGACTTACTTACTTACATAGTTAGTTCACATACACCAATGTTGTAATATACTTATATGTCTCTTTTTTCTTGTTGGTTGCCTCATGATCTAGACCAGCCAGATACAATACTGATTAATATACAGTCACATCTTGAACAATATCTATTTAACATCATAAAGTCCTCCGTTCATCATCCATGGCAGGTCATTCTCCTCCTGGAGCCTTCCTATACTAACGGTACCATCTGTGTAAAATCCCACACATTTTCCTTTTCTGTCGAAAGTTGAAATAATCATCATTGTATAGACTGGTGGTGATACATGTCCTTGTATCTCGTGTCTTCTGTGCAAAAAGTTTATTTTATTTTTTTTCTGTTGAAAGAACTAAAAGCATGATTGACATAACAGGATACCTGGTTGTTTACTTTACAGTAATGAAGATCCCCCCCTTTTTTTTTTCTTCTTTTGTATTCAATTAAACAGTTACATATATTCAGATGCCACACCCTTTGCCTCGGACGTGTCACAAAAAAGGTAAAAAAAAAAAAAAAAATATTACAGAAAGATAAAGAGGTTTATGACTACAGTGAGCAGCATCCTCATTCGCACATTTCTTTTTTTTTTGTTTTCAGAATTAAGGCACTGCTGCATAAAGAAAGAACATGGCCAAAGAACCTCTCTGGGAGTGGGATGGTGAGGCAGGATGATGAGACTCTGTTCTTCTCTGGCAACTCATAGAGTTTGCCTGTGTCCGTACATGTGCTTTGCTAATAGTTTGAAATGTGCGTCATATGGCATGTAGAAATTTTTACATCTTGTGACATTTCTTCAGACCAGCCCTCAGACCAGCCCTCAGACCGTGCTCTCCAGCATCCACTCAGTGCTGCTAAATGTAACTCTCCTGTTTGCTAGCGGGGAAGAAGCTAGTGACTCAATGTCCAGCTGGTTGGTGGACCTGTTCCACCTCGTCTTCGCTCGGCGTGGGTAACTGTGACTCTGAAATATCGAGTAATCTCCTCCGTCGAAAGAGAACCTGTGCCTAGTTCGTGCTAGCTCATTAGGGAGCAGGCCCACATTAGCAAGGGCACTTTTGTTGTCCTTAAGCCTCGGGGCCTCCTTGGTGCCAGCATTAGGACCAATGAGACACAGCGACATGGTGGAGCCCGTCAGGCTACTGTCTGTCTGCGTGTCCTCAGACGGAGGCCCGGAGCGCTGAGCATCCAGGCTGGTTCTCCTTTTCAGCCTGTCCAGGTTCAGTTGAGGCAGCTCCACCTCCAGGACAGCTGTAGTGCTTGCTGGTTCCTCCTTCTTGTCGTCATCCATGCATAGCACCAGGGCCATGCATTCTTTAGGAGCCTGGGCGCCTTCATGCAGGCTCTCGCTGGAGTCTAGCTGCTTAGCCGTGGAGCTGTGTTGCAGGCGCTGCTGGCTGCCATTTGTCTGGGAGTGCATGCTGGAACTAATCTTGCTTTTGCTGTCTTCTGGGCCAGTGTATGTTTTGTAACGGATCATCAGGATGATGATGAACACCAACACAGACGCTACGATGATGCCGCCGATAATGATGATCATGGTTCCACCGAGAAACTGGCTGGGCATGAAGCGACACTCGTTGACGTCACTGGCCGTGTGAAACTGCACGCAGCCCACCACACGGGTGGCTGTTAATGAGGTGATGCCATCGTCGTAAACTGCCAGCACACAGAGGTCATACTCTCGCCCAGGAGCCAAGTCATTGATTAGGAAGTTTTTGCTGGTGGATGGGATCATTCTGTGGAGAGAGAAGAAGAAGAAACAGACTGTCATTAAACTGTTGTCTTTACCATCTGCCCCACAGGATGATTGTGACAAGTTAATGTGAGGCCACTTCCAGGTAGGACAGTAAAATATTTTTTTGTAGTGTTTAATGGTTGATGGAGCATGTTGATTCATTCCTAAGAGAAAAGGAAATGTATTTTTGGTTTTTACTCTATTTCTGTCTATTTTTAAAAATATGTATATCTTTTAGATTTTAGTTACAATTACATTCCTTTTTTAAAGCTATTTTTTGCTATATATTGTCAATATTAGGTTAATTTTAGATAAACCTTTTTGGTTAATTTTAAATTTGTTTGCCTTGTGTTGTAATGTTTTGGTTTCTAGATAACTGGGTTGCTTTTAGAATCCTGTTATGTGAAAAATATTTTTAACATACTGCAATTTTTGGCTACACAATGGCTTGAATTTAGCTAAATATTTGTTTACCTACTGATCTGCTTATTACAAAAATAAAATTACATTTTTAAAAAAAAGTTTTTTCCTACCTTTTTTCCTATGCTTTTTGGTAATATTTTATTAGTTTCAGGTCTCAAGTCACCTTTGCTTTGTGGTTATGGTAAGGTTTTTGAGTATTTTTCTCGAGTTTTTTCACAATTTAACAATTTAATAACCAATGTAAAACACAAACATATCTGCTGTTATTTGTCTTTCTGTTCCAGCAATATGCTCACAATATACAATTTTAGTTTACAATGCTGTTATGTAATATATTACATTTGTAATTTATAGATTTTGTATAATCTTACTCAAAAGTAAAATGTTGAAGAATATAATTAAATTGTGTACAATCAAGTGCTGGAAATAAATATCACCTAAACTGGCAGATGAGCATAAAGAGTACAGCAGTGTAATAAAACTGACTTCTGGTCAACAGTGACATTAACATAATTACCAGCTTGTTTCTTTTTCCCTAAAGGGAGACAGTTGTAGGTAGTAATGTACCACCTCAAGACAAAACACAATCTCAGGCCTACACTGAATGAGAAAATTATGCAGGAGACTGAGTCATTATCGCTGAGACACAGGTGCTAAACAAAACCAAAGTCTTTGGTTCCACACTTGAATAAACCCTGAAATATTTGTCAAATTGAGAAAATTCAATGAACATGCGCCATTAGTCCAAAATCAGATCAACATTAATTGTACATATAAAGCAAAGATATGTGTTGTATTATTACGTATCCTCAATTAGGAAGGTGGTGTTGTACAAGCACGGCTCAAATACTGGGTGATTAATTCAGCTCAGTCTCCTGGAGAGTTTGGAATATTGATGGCTCTGTTTAAATTATTGATATCTCCCTATGCTTCACAAAGCACAAGTTAGGTTCAAATGAAAAAAAGGCCTTATGCATTATCCAGAGGGCTGTCAAGAGGTAGATGTTTTTTTAACCTGAATATCCCAAGAGAGCAGTGGCTTTATCATGAATAATCATGATTAATTGAGATAAATCAACATTCGGATTAGTGCTGGAACAGAAAGACTGATAACAGCAGAATGCGTTTCTCACCTGTTTTCTTTGTGAGAAACACAGTCAGGGATACAGATGGGTTCAAAGGTTAAGAGGTTTACAAGATACTAGTGAGACCTGGTGAAATAAATGGTTCATAAATAGAGAGAGTTGACATTCTGGGGTGTTCAGAAATCACATCGTCTAAATGAGCGATAAGTAGAGCAGTTTGAAGATATAATTTATGCAAAGAAAAGCAAGGTTTTAGGCATGCTGTAAATTAATTAACTTGATCTCCACTATTGTATCATTTCTTAATTTTTTGAAGATTTACTTTAAACAAAATCAATTTCAAGAATAAACAACCGAATTATAAGTTACATAATTCTGAGTCTAAAGATCCAAACTGTTTAGAGCCAAACTTATCTTCTTACAGTAAACAGCAGTTACATGCTGTTGTTAGATTAATATGGAAATATTCATGTAAATTAATGTATAAGGATTTTTAAATGATAAAGGTGGATGACCCAAACCTGAGCTAATGGCATACGCTACCTTACTGCATATATATATAACAGAAACTTCCTCAACTTCCTCATGCAGAATCGATTACACAAAGCCACCCACATAGGGGTGGGCGGAACATCCATTGGCTAATTACCATACAGTGTACTGTAGAGGTTAAAGCACAGAACTGGACTGTTGAACAGGTGAAAACAATCGTTTTCAGTCCTCTTTTTTAACTTACTGTTACTTGAATTTCATGCTGACACCAAAAACCCTGATTAATATTGCATAAAATAGCTATATATTTTGTGGTCAATTAGTGCATTTTTATTCATTTTTGGGAACTTTATTTTCTAAGACTTTAAGAGATAAGTTATCCTTATTTAAACAGCGACAATCTCTCACCAACCATCTACTCTTCCTCCTCCACCATCAATGCATGCAGATTGACTTCGCGCTAAAGGTAAGTTATAGTTGTTTTTTTTTTGTTTTTTTTTATGCCATCTCTCATAATGCCCCAGGTCTCTGCCTATGTACACTTATTCTTCCTGTCAGGTGTTTTTTTTTACTATTGTAAACATGTTCCTAATGAGTAAACATATATCAACATAATCTCATGTCATGGCTTACCGGTACACCAGAGTGTCATCCGCTGAGCTATTGTACTGAATCTGGTACATCCTGATGCCTGGAATGTGTCGTTCAGATGGCCAGCGGATGACAGCAGATGAGGAGGTCAGCTCAGCCACCATCACCCTCCTGTCCTGCTTGTCGTAGCCCTTGGTGTCGTTGCCAGATTTGGTGGAGGTGGTAATATCTGAGAGACCAGGGTCCTCACGCATGTGGCCTGTGTTGTTCACAAACAGGGGTAAAGGGATCATGTTGATCTCAACAGCAGCTGTGGCAATGCCCGCGGCATTGGAGGCAACACAGTTGAATGCCCCGCTGTCCTTAAGTGTAGTGATGAGGATATCGAGAGTCCCATTATCATACAGGATGGTGCGAGAGTTGTTGTGAACTAGCTTGCCATCAGGTGACCGCCAATGTATTTCTGGTTCTGGATCACCGAGCGCTTTGCATTTCAGAGTAACTCCCTGTCCTTCCATCACATAGGGCTTTGTTGCAAGGTGTTTGGTAATGAGTGGTGGCTCACAGATGAACTCCTCCTCTTGGATAGACCAGAAGTACTTGTCCATGAGGTGCTCCGGTGAGGCACAGGTCTCCAGGTCATCCTCCCGAGTGAGCCTGCGCAGCCATAGCAGCTCACAGTTGCAGTGGAGTGGGTTTCCTCCAAAACTCACAGCCAGCGTAGATGAGCTTGAGCCCTTGGCATCAGATAGGACCTGGGCATGCTGGAACAGGCTGTCGGGTGGCAGCTTTTGCAACCGGTTTGAGGTCATGTCCAAGCGTACCAGCTTGGTGAGCAGCGTAAAAGTCCCTGCTTCAATGTGGTCGATCAGATTGTGGTCCAGTGTGAGTGTATTGATGTTGGTCATTCTAGCTATGGCCTCCCAGGGAAGGCTTCGTAGGTTGTTATTGGAAAGGTCCAAGTCCTCGATGGTAGATACAAACTCATCAAAAGCATTAGGGGCTACTTGGTGAATCTGGTTGTTTCCAAGGATGAGGTGCCTCAGGTTTACAAGACCTTGAAAGTGGTCACTTTTTATCACACTGAGGCGGTTACCATCCATGTGGAGTGCCCGCAGTGCTTTCAGGCCCAGGAAGGACTGCGGTGTGATCTGGCTAATAGTGTTGCGGGACAGGGTAAGGTGAACCAAACTAGTCATGTTAAAAAAGTCTTTTTTGCGAATGATGGTAATGAAGTTGTCGGTAAGTCGCAGCTCTACTGTCTTGCGGTCGATGGTTGGTGGCACGAACAATAGTCCATTCTTAGCGCAGAGTAAAGTCAGGGTCGGCGAGAGGTGTTGGCAGATACAGCGGCCAGGACAGCTGTAGCCCTTCACCACAGCTGCACACAGCAGCACACAGAGAACCAGCCGGTCCATCGTTGATCAGCTTTCAGGTACTGTGGGAGAGACAAACAAAAGGGAAATAGAAAATTAATTATTAATTATTAATGAATTATTTTTGCAATTTTAAGCATAAAAACCCACCATGCTATATATTTTGTGGTCAATTAGTGCATTTTTATTCATTGGGAACATTTTATTTTTTTAAGACTTTTTCAGAAAATTATAAGTATAGCATGTTAGTTAATAAGTTATCCTTATTTAAATCTACAGCGACGATCTCTAACCAACAATAACTCCTCCCTCCTCCTCCTCCTCTTCCTCCTCCACCATATAAGTATGCACATCGACTTCGCTCTAAAGGTAAGTTTCAGTGCGGTACTACAGTCATTTTTTATTTTCTTTTTATTCTATACTGTGTAATCATTTTTGGATGTTCTTTTTATGTCCTGAAATTGTTTCTGGTAAGTCTTAAGGAAAAGTACTGTCTTATTTAGAGTAGTAATGACATGTATGACCTTAAATGGCAATTATAAATCAGATATAATGTTGAATAATGTTCTCTGAATAATGAAAAAAATTGATTAATAAAGGTTGATGTTCAAAGAAATTAATTATTTCCTCGATTTTAAGAATGAAACCCCACATTGATACATATTGTAAGGTAAATTAGTGCAATTTTTATGTTTAAAAAGAATTATTAGGATAGTATGTTAGGTTGGTCAAAAGTTGATGGTACAAAAAATCATAACATTTCTCAATTTTAATCATTAAAATAAACATTGCTACACATTCTAAGGCTAATCAGTGCATTTTAATTCATTTTTTAAGATGTTTTTAGAAATCGATTAGCATAGTATAGTCTTGTATGTTTAGGTGATATTTTCACATTTTCAGTACTTCAGTTCAATAATACTTGGCATGCTGCAGCATGTTTTGGGACATAAAAAAACATTTAAGGCCTTTCTGGGACTTTTAATGTTTTTTGCATTTTTACGTGATAGTAAGACTATACACTACACAGACTGGAGAAGCTGATCAGGACGTCTAGCTCTGTGGTGTGCACAAAACTGGACCCTCTGGTTATACTAGCAGAGAAGTGAACACTTGGGAAAACTGCTCGCCATCTTGGACAATGCCACTCATCCACTGCACTCCAAAGAGTAGGACCAACAGACTTAAAAACACCTTTGTCCACCGGGCAATTAGAATGTTTAACTCTTCACTGGGTGGCAGGAGAGCAAACTCTCTAACGACTAGTGGATAGGGGAGTAAGTGCAATAACCCAACAATAATTCAGTGTAATAACTACAATCTCCATTTACATTACTATTATATTTTTCAATATACCATTGTATTTCTATTTTATATTTATAAGTACTGTATATGTTTATGTATATGTGTATATATATGCTTTCCCAATGCTTATATATTTATTAACAGTGTGCTGCTACTCATGTTTGTATTTTACCTATTTGTGTGTTTTTACTGTTGATTTAGTGCTGTACTGCTGCTGGAGCCTAAATAAGCTGAAGGGAACTCCTTAGGAATTAATAAAGTGCTATCTATCCATCTATCTATCGTCTTGCGAATTTGCACGATGGTAAGGCTATAG